CGGGCGCCCAGTTAGGGCGGCAGGTTGTGGGGGTTGTGAGGGCGGGGCACAGTTTGGCGCCCCTGAGGGCCGGTGCGCCCTAGGCCAGACACTAGCTGGCCTAGTGATAGAGCCAGCCCTGGGTCTGGTGGATTTTGTACTGTAGGACACAAAGAATTTCAGTTACAGGCACTGATTCTACCATATTGGCTATAACTTGTGGAGTGGCTTAAGGCGGGTCTGTTCTCCCATCTGTGTTCTTCAGCATTTATGGCAAGCTGCTAACTGAAATCATCTATAGTTCTGAGTATGTGGATAATTCCTAGCTTTCTATTCTTTTGTCTAAACCAATAGAACCTCCTATTAATGTTCTGGGCCAGTGGATTGAAGTTGTGGTCAAGGGGCTGAAGGAGGGCATGCTGAAACTGAATCCATATAAGATGGAGGTGATGCTAGTCAGGAAGGAAAGTATTACTTTCCCAGTTCATTGCTTTTGATAGATTAGGGAACTAGCCTGGGAGCACCGGGAGAATAATGTGTACTTATAGATAATAATGTACAAGTGGGAGACTGTGAGGACACACCAGAGGGGAATCTCATTCTGACCCCCTGCTGGGCATTCTCCCCATGATATTTCCACTTTCCCAGCTTCTCTCCGTCCCTTTCACCTATCTTTCTCAGTCCCCCTAATCTACTGCTTTCTTTCTAGTCCCTCCTCCCTCCCCCACTCACCATTTCCCCCCTTTCCTTGCTTCCTTTCCTTATTCCATTCCCCTTCCCCCCCTTTGCTCCATTTTTCTTTCTCCTTTCCCTCTACATCATCTTCATTCCCTCCATCTGCTTTGTCTTTCCTGCCTGCCCAAAATTCACTTAAAGTTACACATTGAAACATAGCAGCCATTTTGGATTACCTAGGCAACTACAGACAATTGTTGAGGTTGTCTGCAGTTGTAGGCATTACCTTTCTATTTCTTGACAGCTTGGACAGCACACACCTCTCACCCCATGTGCCTGCTCTCCTCCCAGAACCAGCCTCCTGCTTCTCTTCCCCACACTAGTGGCTTTTGGGCCCGGTAAGACCCCTGAATGGGCTGGATCTGGCCCCCGGCGGGCCTTATGTTTGACACCCCAGGTTTATACTTTTTATTTACACCATTCATTCCACACATTGTTTTGTTTTATTCAGTGATCGTAATTGCAGGTACACTGTTTGACAGTATCAAATTTGACAGATTTTATCTGAAATGTTGAATTGTAGACTATGTACTTTCAAATAGTCAAAAAAGACATTTGGAAGTGGTTTCCCATTGCCTGCCTCTGCATCATGACCCTCATATTCCCTGGAGGTCTTCCATCCAAATAGTAGCCAGGGCTGACCCTGCTTAGCTTCTGCGATCTGAGGAGACTGGGCTAGCCTGGGCTATCCAGGTCAGGGCAGTTTAAATGAAGTACTAGGTTGTTAGGTACACTGTTAAGGATAGTGTTTCCTTATCATTGTACTGTCAAAGGTGGTTATCATATTCCTGCAAATCTTCTGCCTCCTTGTTATCGCAGAATTCTCTAAAGACATTATCAATAACCACCTCTCTAGGAAAATCAAAACCCAAGATTCCAGAGAATTTTGCCTTAGATTAGTTAAATTAAATTCTGCCTTAAATTATCTCCTTCCCCCCTTTCTTTTCTTTCTTTTGAGCCTCTAATTTTAATGGAATCTTTGCAATTATTAAGGTCTTATTTATTAAGGTCTTCAGCCTTTTCTTCTAATTTTTGTATTTTGTCCTCACGCTTTAAGATAAGAAATTATTATGTTCTGTCCAGTTGAGTCCACTGTCTTACCAGTTCAGTTACTACTGATTTGATCTTTCCTCTCTTGAATATATTTCAGAAATTCAGCTAATTCCTCCCCCCATTCGACTTCTTCTAACTATATTTTCTAATTCTATCTATATATTTTCTAATTCAGTTTAAATTCCTATACATGATATATACTGATCTAATTTCTGGAATTCCAAAGAAAACAAATCTCTGCTAGTTTCTGTGGAGAATGGCAATACATTATCTGGTTCTTCTTCAGATGGCATATTGCCACCTTTTTCCTTAGTCATAGCTGAAGGGTAGAAGAGAAGAAGAAGAGATTGGATTTATACCCTGCCCTTCACTACCCAAAAGTATCTTAGGCCCCGTTCACCCAGAGCAGAAGCCACGCTACAGAGACGGAAGAGAGGCGGAGTTACCTGGTGCGATCACATGGCAACATCTGGGGAGCGTAGAGCTCCCGTGGTTGAACTGTGGCGAACTGCCGATAAAACAGAGTAAAAAACTAGTACCTCGGAGGTACTAGTTTCCGGAAACTGCGGGGCATGGGCGGGCGTCTGATCGCGTTTCCGGTGGCATCCGGCGCCTGCCCATGTCCCCTTGCGAAAAAAGGTCCCCCCCAAGTCTCCATGGATGCGCACACGCACCCAACGGAGCATGCGCATTCGTAGTGTACACTAAAAAAGAACACCAGTTCGCCGTGCCGCGCGCTTCTTTGTTGCGCGCGGGCGTGTGTTGTGATCGGCAGCTCTCCCTACCCACGGAAGCTCCACAGTACCTCCACAGAACCTCCACAGTAGGTCTGATCGCTTTACTGCGTGTTAGTTTGCCCCGGGGCAAACAGCCACACTTCTCCTCCGCAGTTTCCTGCCCGTGTGACCGGGGCCTTAGAGCGGCTTACAAACTCCTTTCCCTTTCCCTCCCCACAACAGACACCCCTGTGAGGTAGGTGGGGCTGAGAGAGCTCTGACAGAAACTGCTCTTTTTCAAGAACAGCTCTTATCAGAACTATGGTTTGCCCAAGGTCATCCAGCCAGGTGTACGTGGAGGAGTGGGGAATCAAACCTGGTTCTCCCAGATGAGAGTCCGCACACTTAACCACTACACCAAACTGGCTCTCTAAGGTAGGCAACTAAATTTTAGAAAGTGCATTAATTAACTACTCAACCTAACTAACTAACTCTAACTAATTTACTCACTAATTAATCCTCACAAGAAGAAACTATAATTAAATAAATACAAACCAAAGCAAACTGAATCAATATGACCAGGGGTCATTTCGTATAAAAAGAGCTAGGGGGACTCATTAGCATAACTCATTAGCATATGCCACACCCCCTGACATCACCGGAAGTGTGTCCTCCCCACAGCCGGCGGCGACCTCCAGCGGGCACCAGCAGGGAGCTCCAGGCCCCACCCTCCCGCACCTCACCCGGGGGGATGGCGTTCCCCCGCGTCCCCCCCAAATGACCCCTGAATATGACTAATATAGCCAATAGTATAAATCAACAGTTTGACACTATACTGAATAAGCACTAATAACACTACTAGCCTAAATGTTTGTAAAGATTTTTATAGGCCAGTAATAACCTAACCAATCTTAGTTCCAGGCTGCCTCTGAGGGTCACGCCAGAGGATCAATACCCCCGCCCCCCGGAGTCGTTGTGCAGCACATGTGTGCAGTGCATTTTTTAAAGGTTGTTTTTAAAAGTAGGCTGCAGGTAATGTGCATGGT